AGATGAGTTTCAAACTCTAGAAGTGGCCAATTTTGAGGATAGATGTCAACAGTAAGGAACTATAACATGTGACGAAAAAAAAGTTTTGGAAATGGGGAAGAGACAACTTCCATGGCATGAAGTGGAGGACATGAGACCAAAAAGGTTGGGCGGAATGAAGTGGACTGAAAAAGAAAGACATTATGCTAATAAATTTTTGTAATAAAAGGTTAAGTCACTCAAATCAAGTTAAATCAAAGTGACGTTTTGGGACTAGATTTGTTGTGAGTTCACCAACGCATCGATTCACTGCGATACATTGCGAAAGCGTACAAGACACTCGCTGGGCTGGGTGGTGGACGGCGTCCTCTCAACGTTTTCACATTGGAACTTTCAGACGAAATGGTAAAGCATTCTCCAGAGTTAAAAAGTATTTGCCGCTATTGCTATTTATGCATCATTGTCTCAGCTTCCTTAGATTCCGCGGTTACATAAGTCCTTCTTGAGTAAAGTGTAAGTGCAGATGCCCTACACGGCGAGTCTGCAGATTCCTGCCTTTGAGCAATATTAATTTTCGTGCTCAGGAGAAAGTGAGATGAACATTTATCAGGTATCGTTAAAACTAAAGAAATTACCTTAGCTTTTTCAAAGAATGTTCACACATTGCAAAACAAACTAGTATGATAGTGATGTAAATGCAACAGCAAATAGCGGTTAGATTTATAGAATATCGAAACTATTTCATCAACTAGCTTGTAAGATATAAGGGTTAGATTTTACGACAGTCATCTATGAGACATAGGAATAAGCCACTTTAAATAATTCCTATTGCATAATTCCAGTACAGCAGAGGCAGGCGTGCGGCTAGAGACACGTGAGTTTTCGGAATCGTAACAACAGAGTATTCTCCCGCAAGAGGCTATTTCGAGGTGGTGGAAAGACGGGACGTGGTTACTCTCCTCCCCATTATCGCGAGATGTGTTCGGATAGGAACAGAGGTGCACTCCGATGATTGGGCTGCGTATCGGCAGATGGATCACCATATCCATTCCGTAAGTCACCACCAGGCTGTTGTTGAACGGCTACATTTGGTGGATCCGGTCACTGGAATACATACCCGGGAAGTGGAGTCCTGCCGGAACAATTTGAAATTAGGCCAAAAAATACGCAGAGGAATTGGGAGGGAGGACATGCAGTCCTACCTGGACGAGAAGATGTGGCGTCAGTGGAGAGCAGAGAACCCTCAGAATGCCATGAATAACTTTTTGGCAGTTTTAGCTGGACAATATATTGTTAACAATCCTGTATTGTAGAAAATTTAGAATTTGTAGATTAAAAGAAATGTGTCTCCGTGATTGACGTGTTTTAATATTCAGGTTTTTACATCAACCAACCAAAGTCTCAGTTTTTAAATGGTGCGGTATTTGGTCGTGTTCAATTTCTTCATTTTTCTTTACTTTGTTGTTTGTTTGTTTGTTTTTAACTTAGTTTAATATAGTAAGCAACAAATAACATTGAGGCCCATTTCACGAAGACGGAAAATAAGAATATAAGAGACAACATAATTTGAATTCCAAGGTTTAGGTTTACAGCTCCCTCTAATCTGCATAAATTGACTTCGACGTGGAGAAGAGCTGATGAATTTTTCATAAGTCCTTTTACAAATATAAAGTTCAATAAATACCTTAATGGTAAATTTTTAAAATGGTATTGTATTTTGTAGCTCTGTCGACTACTTGTAAGTTAACCTTTTCTTGTAGAGCTCAGGTTTAAACACGCACTCCTGGTGAAGAATAGAAAAATTGCATCAGAGAGGTGTATGATAAGTGTTAGTAGGAGCAATTTTCCTTGACGCTAATTACATTCCTTGACATCCTAGTGACTATGAAAGAAAAAGTCTGAGATAAGAATGCATGATTAACGAACGGTTTTATAGGTCAAATGACAGAACAGCACCACAAAGTCGCGAGGAAAGTGGGTAGAACCGACTGCCGCTTTGCCACGTAAATCTTCATGGATAGATCAACAACCTCCGGCTATGCAAACTAAACGCTTGATTTTCAGGAAAATTTTGAGACTTCTAGAAGTCGTCCTCTCACCCTCCTCCCCACTTTAAACCGCCCCTAAACCTCCCACCCCCCTTCCCTTCTCACACAAGGCTTCATATCGAGTCCTAGTTAGCTTAGGAGGGAGAAATGTACTCTTTTGGCTTTTCTTCCCTTCAGTATGTAATGTTATTTATTCACTTTTGTGATTGCCGTATATTGAGTTGATTACCAAATCGAGTTCGATTCGAGCTCGATTACAAGGGTTGTGACTCGAGCTCGGATAGGCTTTTGTTAATTTTGTGAAATTTTACTGATTTTTCCGTGTATTTGTTTGGAGCATATTTATTCGCAAACTTTCACATTTAAACATTTTCAATTTATTCGAGTTCATTCAAGTCCTTTCATTTTAGTGAGTCAAAAAATGTATAAAAACCATAGTAGCTTTTGGAGTAGATTTTTGTTGTTACTCGCTTTCATCATACGCATCTGCTTGTCGGCACTTTTGTTATTTATTACTGGTTTTGGTACAGTTTCCGCACAGCCCCATACTATTGTAAAACAAATCTGTTTTCCCAATGGAGATGTATTGTTTAATTCATTAATTTCTCTAGTCAAGAACTGATTGCATAAAGTTGTATGAGGCTGTGCGAAAATTTTACCCTGGTTTTTTTAAGGTAAATATAAGTGTAAATATAATTTCGAGCTCGAGTCACCTATTTCGAGCTCGGTTGCCAAGGGACAAATATTGATCCAAGAAAAGTACATGAGCTGCTCCATAACATTAAAAGCCAACATAAATAAATGAATTTTTACACATTTAAGCTATTGTTTTCAAATATATTAGCATCTCAACTTCGATATCGCATTCCAAACTGCATTTTAAAGTAACCAGCAACATCCAGGTTTCGCCCAATGCTGAAACGAAATTGCACTGTCCATTCTCGTAGCGATTTTCTACCAGGTAAGTGGAACTGGCGCTAAATTTTCGTTTTACAAAACTCTAACCATAGCAACTTTGAAATAGAAAGTAGTACATAATCTGCGTTTTGCACAGAATTTAATTTGGACGGTTGAATATTCACTTCAACCGGGCGTATGTCCGCAGGCTGTTGTCAACATCTCGTAATAATAATAATAATCCTAGCCATAGGAATCATTCTTAGCCTCTGAAGACAGTTTTAAGACAAGCGGTGAGTCTGTGTCCAAAACTTGTGCTTGGCATCCTTGGAAAAATTATTGCATAACATTTAGCCTTCGTCACAATTGTAGTACTCGAACACTTACATTTAATATCAGTCCAAATTTGCAGTTGCTTAGCCAAATAAAAGCCCAATGCAGTTTTAGCAGAGACAGCATAAAGTCTTTATCATTGATTAAACGATCCCGATTTGTTACCAACAATTCACTTTGGTATTTTGTTTGTGGCTACTGATGAAGGCAAGCTTTAATTATAAGATTGAAACTTTAATCAATTCATACTTTGTGACTTTTTGAGGTAAATTTACGTACCTTTGCTTATTTGTTTGTTGACGCTGTGTGGGATATTTATGTTTCAAGTCTGGTATCGATTATTTTATGTTACAACATTGTGAAAATAAGCATATCTACGTCAAAAATATATCTTAAAGTTGTCCCATCGCTGCAGTAAAACGTATGCAAATGCTAGGAGCTATATTTATTTCCCAGTCAAGCTTAAGGATATTGTTCTTCGATTATGGCATTAGTAATGTGATAGTAGACTGATCACTCATTATTGAGCTATAAGAGGTGACCAATATATAAATATATCACTGTAAATTGACAAAAGAATAAGAGGCTTAGTTTCTGAAGAAACTGAGGTGCTGCACTGATATGGCTTGCGAGTATAATTTAATTCTATCAACTAGGCTGATTATGTTAATTGGCTACTGAATAGAATTTCTAAGGCTGAGGTTTCGAGCACTTGCCTTTCGTCATGCAGAACGAATACGAAGGGCTAATACTCGAAACGTCAGTCTTAGCAATTCTTTAAGGTGATCCGTCAATTTTCATCATCGACTCATTTGATAAAGTCAAAGTATCCTCTAAATAGATAAAAGCAGAATGTTGCTTGTAAATTTAAAACATAAGCACAACAAAAACATCACTTCTGTACGTACTGAGCGGAAAAAATCAGAAAAGGATGCACACACGTCATTTACCGTCCGCGACCTTACACTTGACTTTGTCGTCTCTGACGTAAAACGCTTGTGTTGGTGAAAAGAGAGCGACTTGTCCTTTGAATTCCCTTAGCTTTGAAAATATTTCTATGTCATACCTTCGCATATTTTAAATCTAAATTTCTAGGGCTAATTTGGTTTTTTGAAATTTTCTTTTTTTAGATGATCGAAAATTTTCCAGACGGTCAAATGCATGCATGTTTACATGACAAACAATCACTAATTAAAAAGGTAGATTAAAGAGATTAAAATGGAAAGTGCTTCAATTAATTAGCAATAAAAGCAGTTTCTTGTCAAACCATACAAAGTAATTATGAATAAAGCGGAAAGTTTTCTAAAGAAACTGTGGTGTTGCATCGGTGGGGGGTATTGCGAAATAATTTCGTTCATCGACTGAGTTGATAATATAAACTGATCACCGCAAAGAGTTTCGAAAGCTGAAGTTTTGAGAGTTAGCCCTTTGTCAGAAAACGGGCTTATCGACGTCAACCCTTTCGCTCTAACTAGGGATAGCACTTAAAAAGTTATCTTTTGATGATGACGTTGATAAATGCAAACAGTAGATTCAAATTTCGAAAAGACAAATAATTACTCAGAACAACTCTTGCGGACATCACATTTGAATGTCACAGCTTGTGCTTTCCCGTACGAAACTTTTTTAACCTTCCGTTTTGAGGCAAACAATTGACTTAAGTTAAGCATCGCTCGTAAGGTGTGCTTTTTCAGATGATAAGGCGTTTGAACGATTGAAATTTGTTGCTGTGTGCTCTTTGCCCGATTGTTCAACCGGAATTAGGAATTTGCAGTCTTTCTGTCACGATAAGTAAGTTAAACGAACAACTTTTGAATTTAGAAACACAACACGACTTGTGATTCTTGCATTTAACCGTGCCGAAAGCATGTAAGACTATTCAAACATTACAGAATCACTTATGCACATATATAGAATTTTCATTGACCGTGATCCGACGATTCCAAATGATGTCAAAATTTAAGGGAATTGTACTCCAGAGTAGGTTTTCAAATACAGGTTTCGAGTCAAATGAGATATATGAAAGATTCAAAACCGTAAGCATGGAGATTTTGGCTTTTACTGAAGTAAACAATATGACGCAATTTCTAATGTACACAAGCCCGTGATGGCTCGATGCGACAATTTCAAATAATCTCCAAGAGTACAGATGTTTTGAATAACAATAGGTTTCCTTTGATTAGTTTAGAGTCAAACATACTTCATCATGGTATTTCAGACATAGTCTGAGCTCTTTTCATTCAATCCATAGGCTGATTGGTTATATTCCGGTTCAAAAATCTAAAGAATTAGTTCTAAAAAATTCTGATGGCGTTGAAGTGATGATTTTTCATTCAGTAATTTATAAAATAATCGTGCGAAGTACAGGCTGACAAACCTGTTGCTATAAATTATAATAGATATGCATTCCTCTTGTTTGAGTCATTCAGTGCGACTAAATCAGGATGCTTAAAATAAAATATTTCACTCTTATAACCATTAGTAACTTAGCAACCATGGAAGGTTACTAAAGACCATTATAAAGCCTTACACAAGATATCTCGTCATTCGACTGCTGATTCTCACTGCCACGTGATGATACCATAGAAAGGTTACGAAGATATTTAAGATTTTCTCTTAATAATTTTTTTTTCTTTTCTAGGTCACAGGAACAGCCTTGGTTATTAAGCAAGAGAAAGATATGGAATTGATAGGTATCACAGAAGATGGAGAGTGTAGTGTGTCAATTGATTTGCCTGAAAATGAACACTGCCGCTCTCAGAGACAACCAACACTTTTACCTGAACTTGAACAAGCAAAGAATACCTCAATTGCCGTAGAAACCCGAGCACCACTTAACCAAGTAGGCCAGTTATATTCTCCATCAATATATTAATAATAATCTTTTTCAATTCCTTGTTATTTTCAGTTGAGCAGAATTTGGCACATTTGAAATGTACTCATCGATGCTGCTCCTGTATCCTTAGTTTCATGAAGTAAGGTTGTTACCATACGTCGGTGACTGCGGACATTTGCTGTTATTTTTTTTTTGTTCTATCTACTTTTTAGGTAAAATTGGGTGACTTCTGTACTTGAGCCTATTGCCCCCCCCCCCTCCCCCACCAGAGCTTATCCCAGTTTCCATGTAATATGAAGCAACCAGGACTATTACTACTCCTCCCTTTGACTGGAATGCTCGTCCATCACAAGGTTATCCCTGAGCATTTCGTCGGGTTTTCGTTACAATTCACCAGTACCCATTTATATTTTTATATTCCAGGGTGGACAGAACTGCATTGTTTTTCCCAAGAACATAACACATTAACTCCGCCAGGTCTCGAACCAGGACCTCTCGACCCGGAATTCTGTGCACTCACCACTTTCTCTCATTTTCCTACCTTGAACTATGAAGATAATCCGCAACCTCAACCAATGCTTCGTGTAAATGTAAATACACTAAGGGCATTTGAAAACACGTAATATGTTAATTATATATTTCCGTCTTTTTATAGACCAGACCTGTCATGAAATCAGACAGAAAGAAACGAAGAACTTCAAGTGAATGGATGAAGAAATATTTCTTGGAAGGTCAGTATGTCCTAACTGTATTCAAAGTACTTTAAACAAGAAACCTCTGAATAAATATCACTGATTAATAAACCAATGATGAATATAAATCACCTCATTGTAATATTCGTCACCTTTCAGGTCAAGCTTTGACCTCTACCCAGGCCCAGGCCCTTGAAACATTCGATCCGAGCGCGCCATGGTACCAGAGGCTCATTGTAAAACACCGCCGGCTGGTGGGTGTGGCAATCCCATTTATCTTCTTTCAAGTCATTTGGTGGAGTTGTGCCATCAAGTACAACTTCTGGAGTCTGTTTCCTGACAGATATTTCATGTCAATAACGATGGTTTTCGGTTCCGTGATTGCAGGTACAGACTGATCTTCTAAGGTCATTGATTTCGTTTTCTTTCCTGAACAGAACACTTTTCAATGCACTTGAATCTGCAGTGTATATGACGTTTATTCTGGCTTTAATTAACCTGCGCTTAAAAACAGTCGAAGAATCAATGTAAGCTAAGCCGTAGCCCACTTTTTCGTTGGTCTGTGAAAACTTTCTCGAGAGATATTTGACATCCCATCTCTAGTCCTCATAGGATTATTTCTATGCAACAACTGTTTCACAAAATCCTTTAGATAACCTTTTTAGAGATTAACGAAGGCTATACAGGTCTACAAGTAGCGCATAGAGTCGCAATCCGTTAAGCATAAATTTTTTTTTATGCAAAAAAAAAAAAACCGTAGAAAAGCTCCTTCTCTCCGTTCACAGGAATGACAAGTGAAGGCGGAGGCTCAGTCGCTTTTCCCGTTATGACCCTCGCTTTTGGTATAGCACCAGCAGTAGCACGTGATTTCTCACTGATGATCCAGTCCTGCGGTATGATAGCTGCGGCTTTTACCATCTTCTGGATGCGCGTGCAGCTAGAATGGCACTCCTTAACACTTTGCTCCCTTGGAGGAATTTTTGGCATGATTATTGGCTTGGAGTTCATCGACCCTAACCTCACCCCTCCCCAGAAGAAAATTGGATTTGTATGTGTGTGGTTTGCATTCGCTTTTGCTCTGTTTCTGTTGAATCGCTTTCATAAGCGGAAAACATACAGGACGATCCCAGAATTTAAATTATGGAAGCTCATTGTACTTCTATTAACTGGATTCATCGGTGGAGGCTTCTCAGCAATTGCCGGGAGTGGCGTGGACGTCTGTAGCTTCAGTGTTCTAACGCTCCTCTTCCGAGTAAGCGAGAAGACTGCTACACCAACGTCCGTCATCTTGATGGCAGGAAACACTGTGGTGGGCTTCTACTGGCGTCAGGTCATCCAACAAGCTGTGAGTGCTGAGGCGTATTATTACCTGGCAGTTTGTGTGCCAATTGTTGTGTTGGGTGCTCCAGTGGGATCAGTGATTGGGAGCCATTTTCATCGTCAGATTCTAGCAAGCTTGAATTATATTTTAGACACTGTTGCTCTTATTACCGCGTATGCAATTGTGCCTCTCACGAAAGCTTTGATTGTGGCCTCTGTGGGTATCGTAGCTCTCGGGTTTCTCTTCTTTGGGTTGATAGCTTATGCTGGACAAAAAATAATGGAAGGAGTTGAAAACAGGAAAGAACAACTTTTACAAAGACAGGGTAACAATGAAGAAGAAGTAGATGAAAATACAATGAACTCTAATTCATCTAAAATCAATTTCCACAAAGAAAAAGCTCATCGTATTGATCTTGAAACATAATAATTAGCCCAGGGGAGAAGTAAAAAATTGCCAAAACAAGATGAGCAAAAACTGGACACACTTTACGAAGAGTGACAGAGAAATTAAGAATCTAGTTCATTGCTATTTTATGTATTGTCTTTACGGTGGCTTCAAATATCAGGATGTGATTCATGATCACTATAAGACTTTTCGCGCTGAATTTGAAGCTTATAAGGGAATAAATACGGATATCTTTTCGTCTTTTCCAACACATGGGGTAAAGAAAAAAAGTCATGTCAGAGTTATATATTTCGCACGCTCGTGGTAATTCGAAATGACACAGGTAAACCCTCATTTCAAATTTTATTCCGAAAAAAAAATTTCACCTTGATACCTTAATTGCCCATTTCCATCCTATGACATTAGTGCCAGGTCACACTTACACTCCACCAATGAAGACATGCATGAGTTTCGGGGCATGGATGGAGCCCCTCTTCTCCCAAAGGTTTTTGCTTTGTTTGAACTTTTTAAAATGTAACCTTTACTAGATTTCTTAAAAGTATAGAGTGCTGCCCAGGGAATGTCGTCATTCGAAAGCCGATAAATGTCAATCATCAGTTTTCAAATCAGAAGAACCAATTCTTTAACCAACTCTCTTGAAGAATAGATGCAAACAGCTGGTCAAGAGCAAGTCCTTATTGGTGTTGTTAACGGTTAAAACAAAGTAGTCTTAATGTGTATAGGTGATCGTCGCTCTGATCGAAGTTTCTGTGGACATTATAAAATTTGGATCTGTATTCTGTAACTTAATAACTTTCGTTGGACAGATACTATTCAAAGGTATAGAAACTACAGATTCAAAGTTTACGAAATGAAAATAAACAAGTTGTTGTTTTCTTTTTTCTGTTTAGTCATGTGTGTAATAATTTTGTCACGAAACGTCGCCTTCATAATTCTTTACGATGGGCAATTTACATTACCAAGTCATATGTTAAGACTGAATCATCTTGCTATACTCCCCATCGACACAGCACCACAGTCTTTTTGGATAGATTCTTTGATAGATTGATAGATTCTTGATTGAAATACATCGCAGCCCGTAGAGATGAATGACGTATTTTCATAAATTGAATGTATAAACTTACGAATTGAATAATACCAAAGAACTAATGACAGTAATATCTAAAACATTAAAAAAAACTTCAAACAGCTTGTTGAATCATATTGTTAAATGTCTAATGACTTGAAAAGTATTCACTCTGTTCAATCTGTTTGTTTTACTGCGAGGTATGCTGAAGGATCCCACGTGCCTAAGATTGTACTTGCTCTCATGTAGGGGCGGCAGAAATTTCTTGAAGTTATGGCCGCTGTCATTGAAAATGCTTTCAAACGTACGCTTGCAAATATCACTGTGATACTCCGCTACGGACGGTAGGTTCGTTAGCGCTAACGCGTGCTGATGTTCCATGCCAGGGCAGATGATTCACATTGCCCTTTTCTGAATGCACTCTAGTTCTTGCATTAAGTAGGCAGGCAGAGCCTAATGAAACACAAGTACAGCATAATCGATAACGGCGCGCACACATGTGATAAAAAAAAAGACAAAGATCTTTCTGAGAAACGCAGGCTCTTTTAAGCTGGATGAGAAAATAGAGCCTCTTAGCTGCCTTTTTTATCACTTCTGTGATAGGCGCGTTCCAAGATAGGTCACTTGGAATAGTTACGCCTAAGAGTTTAGCATTAGTAACAACCTTTATGCACTCTCATCCGATAACTACAGGAGGGAAATCATGACTAACTGAAACAAAAGAAATGCGAAGTTCCTTACATTTGTCAGTATTTAGTTTGACTCTATCTCTGATGGACCAGTCCGCTACCTCATCTGCTATAGTTTCCGCGTTGCTTACTTTTCTTTTCCTAATTACTTCAGATGTCCTTGAGTCGTCTACGTATTTCCAAAGTGAGCATTACTAGTTGCTAGGTAATTAATCGTGATTAAAAACAACCATGGACTGAGTTTGGTCCCTTAAAACACGCCTGTAGGAACTGTGCCCCATTCTGATATACAGCTTTCAGAGAGTTTGATTCTCAGCGAGCGGATCCAATTGTTAACGCTAGGTGGAATAGGAAGCGCGCGTAATTTTCTCACTAAAATGCTATGATCTATTAAGTCAATAGCTTTCTTGTAATCAAACAGGAGGGTTCTTATAGTTGATCCGTTTCCATCAGTCCCTTGCAACCAAACGTGGAACATTTCAAGGAGGGCGAGGGTTGTAGACGACTTTGGTATCGCTCCAAAGTGACTAGGATCGAGTACACGCAGTACTGCTGGCTTCACGTGTGCAGTGACGACAAAGTCCTCTGTTAGCTTGGAGATACTAGGGGTGAGCGATATAGGCCGCAGGTCGTCCTTCTTGGTCTCCTTTTGGAGGAGGGGTGACATTCGCCAGCTTCCAGATGCTCGGTAGGCGCTGTTCCTTAAAGGAGGCAGTCAAAGAAACTTACCCTCTTTATTCGGTATGGACGGACATCTGCAGTAACTAGTGTGGAAAGCTGAAAGTACCGTAAACAGTGAGGATTGTAATATCAACAGTCGAATAGCGAATTCTTTATTATCAAACATGATAATGATGAGTTTCATCATTTCGACAAATCAGGGAAAACTAAGATTCTAACTTAACTCTGATATGACATCGATCCTTTTCATAAATTTGGCTGGTATTTTTCAGTGAATGGAACCCATATTGTCCGAAAAAGAATTTGTCAACGGAAACCCCGGAAACCGTGTGTGGCTTTTAGCATGACGTTTCATAACGTCATTCTTGTTCATAGAAAAAGGTTTTGTTTTGTGAGGTAACACCAAAATTTCCGCTACGATAAAAGTTGTCTAGCTTTGGCAGACCACTTTGCTAGAAGTAGACGTCATTTCCTTGTGTATGTTTGACCATTCTTAAGAAGTCACATGACAACCTCACGTCGATTTCAGTGTGTACTACGTTTCGTGGGTCGTTAAGTATTCATATATTCATGCTATTGCTAAGGCTCGTTTCCGAATCAATGGGGTTCTCGTCGGATTTGCAAGACCACTACAGAAATCGGAATGCCCTTTGATGACATGTGTGACAATTTTCTTTTGTTTATCGCCCAAGAACGAAAGATAGCTACAATTCCGAAAATTTTGCTTTTAATTTTTTTAACCACAAAGCCTTTCAGCTTTTAGAGTATGAGCACTAACAAGTGTTGCATTTTCAAATAAGATATCTACAAAGTTGGCCAGTTTTGAAAATGTCATCTTACAGATCACCATGGAAATATAAATTTTTGCATAGCAATTGCCGCTCACGCGATTTCAACTGTACTTTTAGTAAGCATTCATGAATGGATTTTTAATGACTTACTTATAACTACTTAATGTACCTGGGATTAGTTATTTATCTCGTCCAAAGTATTTCAATATCAGTGAAGTGAGCTTCAACCATTAGAGACATTTAGCTGCATTATAAAAGATAAACAATTACTTAAAAACACCATTGACGCCAAGACGAGATATTGGACTTTCTATGATGTGTGGCGTGTGATAAATGACCCTTGAACGTAGTCAATTTTTCTTCCCGACCCCGAGGCAAATGTAGAGATATTTCGGATAAGAGGTATAGCACAAATATCCTATTTCTGTTCCATTTATTCGTAACAAGATTAAGAGCTCTTCAAATTGTGAAATAACATAAAATTACTTTATTCCTGTTTAAAAAAAAAAAAAAACAAGAGAAAACTAATTCAAACAACAAAAACTGATCAAAACAAAACACAACAATTGGTTGATAACTACAGGTGAAAGCTAATTCGCCAGCGGCTTTTCCGGCCGATGCGTCGCGCAGATGCAGACTTTCAAGACTGATTCACTCGTCATGATTACACTAGATTGATACCAAATCAAACACAAACCCTACCACAGCAGATAAGTTTGCAAGCGAGAAAAAAAAATACGAGGTTATGAAAAATAAGTAAATGACAGGCTAAGAGGTAGAATTTAACTTGATTTTAGTTCATATTTGATGTTTTTTAATCAAAGTTAATAATGCTGTTGATTATAAACGACTTTACGCTGATCGTGTTTTGAAAAGTGACACAATAAATTGTGGTAGACCGTTAGAAGTTTGTGATTTACAAGGACGTGTATCGTGATACCATTGCGTGATTCCGAAAAAAAATTTATTTCACTCGGTTTGTTGAACCAAACAAGATATATCACGCGAAATAGCTTCATTCATTCACGAAAAAACCGACTTCCTGAGCAATTTGTTTTCTTACGTATTTCCGTCCAGTTTTGCATTTCAAAGAGCGTTGCGAGATCTTATTCTTTCAAATGATACTTTATCAAAATTGGATCTTCAATTGACAGTATATCTAATGAACTACACTCAAAACTCTTTTCAACCTGAACAATTTTAAGCATTTCCGTAAGAGTTCGCCTCGTGAACAGATGTCCAAAGTACGCCTCGTATAGAAAAGAACCACTCGGCTATAGCTACAGACAATTATGTGATCCAGGGGTTATGGTCTGAAATGACGTCAAACCAATTGTCTGTGAAAAGCAATTTAATTAGAGTAATTTTAAGATTCGAGAAGAGGCGACAAACATGCATACAAATAAAAAGCTTTCTCCATGGTGTGGCTTCCTTCATTTTCATAAATGATAAAAAAAAAAAACTAAGTCAAATCTTTCCTCTACCCTTAGACCTCGAATGTAATATAGAAAAATATTATAAAATGGCCTGATAGAAGCGAAAAAAAAAAAAAAAGAAGAGGAAACGGAAAATCAATGTTTTAAATTTAGACGTAAGGTTGAGAGTATTACGTAACAGTATTTGTAACTTTTTTTTGGTTTCTTTTTGTGAAGTGGAAAACTGCCTTAAACTTGAAGGACTCTAGACATTATCAGCTTAGTTAGATAGGAAACGCAAGTTGAGCAATAATAAACAAAAAAACAAAGCAAAGCAAAAAAAAAAAAAAAAACAGCATGAAAATATTGAACGCACCGCAAATTAAAAATGAATTTTTCAAGTTCACAAACCGTGATAAGCACTGATAATCCATGATACCTTTGGATGGGCAAAGTGTGTTTGTTACCACGGGGTTCAGTTCATATCAATTTAATTTAAGTAGGATAAATTCCGTGCGTTATCCTTTTTGTGAACGTTTAGAAGTGATTTACATGGCATTTCTCATCACAATTTGGTTACATTGCGAATTATGCATCGAATCTTACAGGGTAGAGATCAAACATGATTTCTGTCGTGTATAGGCACGTCATATCGAGATTTTGATACACCTCCAGGTCATTTTTTTAAATTCAAATTGATCTATAAATCGAACCCAGGATACGAATTTTTCTCTTTTCGCCGAATATTCCCTTGAAACGCATTATTTATTTACATACGAAGCCAAACAAAAAGATACTGGAAGGAGGCGGTTTAGCCAATAGCGTCGCATGCCCTAATTACTTAATGCAATATCGCGTATTTTGTGCACTGATCATGAGTTGACAGTTTCTGTCATTTTATGTCAATTTGGTCCGTAAATAGCCATAAGACAATTAATTCCGTTGTCTGCGAGAGGATGTTAAAGAAACGATGATATCGTAGTGCCAGTTCATAAGTAATCGCTCTCGTTTCTGGCCGGGCTGATCTCAAAGTAAGTGCCTTTGAATTCTCTGACAGGCAACAAATTTTTTAATGTTTAGTACACAATTTGTTATTTTGTTGATGTTTTGTGACAGATGGTGACAAATACTTAAAACTTCCATTACTGACATTTACCGTATTATTATCTTCGAAGTATGGCAGAAGCCTCTCAAATTATTTTCGCGTGCGTTCTCTGGCAGGCTAACAAACTTGATAATGTTTCATACAGAGTTTCTTAGTTTTTTCCGAGTCTTGTGACAAATGTAGTCAAATTGTAAACACTGTTTTATCATTGGTGTTGCAGTGAAACGATTGTTATTTCGTTTGCCTAAGTTTAGGGGTGCTCTTCAATAAAGTCTCGCGTACGCCCGTTTACTTCACTCAGCTTAATTTTCTGTCTCTAATTTTTTTTTATGATGGAGGTTACGATGGAACGGAGAGTTGATGTAGACGGGGAAGTTGCGCTTGATTTTCCAGGAGATGGAAATTATAACCACAGACCTCCACATTCCCCAACTCTTGGTCATACCCAGTGGAGCCAGTTTTCTTATGAGAACCAAACTGCACGGCCACAAGTAAGGCTTAAGTTGATAAATTCTTGGCTTTCAGTTCATTTACTGTTCTTGATAAATAAAAAAAGATACCAGACATGTTCAATTTAGTCAGCAGTTTCAAAAGGTGCGCCGTTTTGAAATTATGAGTTGTAGAATATATTGCCGTTGGGGAACCAAGACCAATATTTTTAGGCAGTAGATTTATTTTACACAAGGGATTAACTTTGTGTTATGATAGATTTTAATTTATTTTAGCATTACAATACCTCACGATAGAACGAACTGTTCATTTACTGAGAAACATGCTTTTTGCCACCTTTAATTGATTTTCGCTAATATCGCTCTATGCCCTTATGGACTGTTACTTTACCATCTCTTATCTCTTAAAATATAGGTTGTATAGTTGTAACTTCCATCCTCTTATCTCTCAAAGTACAAGTATCACAAGTTTTCTTTTATGCATCATTGAAAATCAAAAATGTTAAATCAATAAAAAAATTTTACCAAAGGTTAAAGGCTACTTAATTTTAGTGACTTTGATGTTGCAAATTCCTCCTCAACATTAAAACGGTCCGCCGAAATTGACCTATATCGTACGTTTTCCTATTAATAAACTGTATAGGAAATATTTAAGATTCCTGCAAAGTGCACGTAATTGAAAAGTTATTTTTCTAGGCTTGTTTAAACCGCTTGAAGTAAATGAGCTCAGTTAGATTTACCTTTGTCTCAATTCACTTAAATTTTTTCTTAAACTGAAATGAAATAGTGAATCAGACCGTTGAAGATAGAGCATTGTGTCTGCGGTTCTGGAAATTAAGAGCGAACGCCGCCACTTGCTGAAGCTTTTCTTTCAGATTTGCACTTTAGTGCCCTTCTGAAACGAATTAATTATTATTTAGACGTAAAAAATGACGATAATTTAACAACAAACTTGGAGACTAGGAAAAACAAACGGAAAAGGAAAACTTAAGTACAAGAACTTGCAAGTCTATTACGCAAAAGAAAGGAAGTATTTTTCATGATTACCACAATACCCTAGCTGAGTCATTTGACGTCATTGCGTAATGACGGGCGACAAAGCAATTGTTTACTTTTAATTGTCTCCATATCGCTGAAGGCGAGTATAACAAACGAAACCGGCCGGTGCTTATTCACAGATATTGGGCCGTCTTCACAAAGCAGCTTTGATGCTCGCTTGAAATTCTTACAGACGTACTTGAGGCAGCTCTTATAGCCTATGTTGTATTCACTTTATGAATTCCAGAGAGAATGAAAATTTAAACCCGAACGTCCCACAAAAATCAAAATGGTTTGTCTTAAATTCTTGCCATGGGTGGGTAGTCGCTCTAAGTTAGCCTTCTTTGCTTACCAGCGGTACATGAGGCCTAAAGGATGTCTCTGCGGTTTTATGTTGGGAAACTGAAATTGATCGGACTTATACTTCACTGGCTACAAGCAACGTCATAAAAAAAGTTGAAAAAATTAGAAAAGTTTACTCGCTTTAAATTCTACCGCTTCAAAAGCGTAACATCTGGATTTTGTTCATTATTTTCGCCTTTAATTCTGGCATATGTGTTCATGAAACAGATCATATTTGTCTCTGGGTTTTGCATTAAATTTGCGCTAATTTTTTTTTTTTCTGGAGCGAGTTGAGAGAGCGGGAAAAATCCTGTTTAGGAAAGTCACTATATGTTTACAACTGAATTACTTCCACGCACAGAAACAAATGGAAAATATATGAGCGAAATCAAATGACATATTTTTCCTTCTTCGAAATCGAATTAGTCATTACTGTTTAATTATCCAAGTGGTTTTGATTCTCAGATGCATTAAAATATGCCTGCATGTACAGCGTTTAAAACAGACCAGAAACTTGAAACTTCTTTTGGGACTGAATACCCCATATAGAGCATCTGTAAAGAACAATAGTTTTCGAGTTTAAGAGCCAAATACTTTTGAGTTTTAAATATTACTTAAACAGTCTTGTGATGTATTAGCTAGGCTCTCATCAACCCATTTCTTGCAAGGGGGGAAGGTTAGCTCAAATGAATGAGAATGAACATCTCCAACTATTTATTATTTCCCGTGGACACACAAAACGCCTCAAACTATGAACTTTCAATAAAAAGTAAAAAGTGGTTTGACTCCTCATCAAAAAAGTCGATTTTAAGGAACTTCAACTCGGTTGAGTGTCTTTTAAATTGTATATTGATGTAAACGATAGAAACACTCGCAAACTTATTTGAATTACAACGCATTTTCTGTTCAGTTTCAAGTTCATCAGAATGCATTGGCACTTGCGTTTGATATTAGTTTTTGTAGTCCATCTCCATCCTCCTTTTGCAAGCATTTTCAGTTGGCAGCTGAATTAACCTGTCTGAGGAAACACTCCAAAGCAATCAGCGAGGTCTACCGTCTACAGTGTACCAAAAAATACCAAATGCGCATAAAAAAGATTAAGGTTCTAATATACTTTCCGTGGCGGTCGGTAGTGACTTAAAGCGAATAAATCTTCATCTTCATTTCATGTAAGAACTTTAATGGCAAAGACCAAGGTATTTAATGGTGCCTAACATTTGATATGGACTCTTAGATAAAAATCAAACCTAACTTTGAGTTGGTCCAATTATAAAATTGGCTTACTCAAGCACCTTTGCAATGCCGCTTTTAATATCAAAGGAGACTAGGTTAAATGAGAATTTTAGCTTGGACAAGAGATAAATTTCTCGTTTTCAACCTGGAGCGCATGTCTGTCGTTGTATTTCTTTAAGGGCTAGTTTACAGTTATAGATTATCTCGTATTTTTAGCATATAGAGACCGCAAATTTGCTGACTCATATCCATTTCAAGTGCTATTACGTAATCAGCATGCTATAAATCCAATATCAGCCGTGGATATCAAAATTCGTTTATAGCAAGCAAATGCCGTGACATATCAAATGGACGTGGCGTGTGAAATAACTACAATAGAGCGGGGCCATTAATCAAATGATATATGAGATTTATTACTTTTTTATTAAAAGACCCACCGACCGTAACTTAATATCAAATATTTTAAGTATGCAGCATAAGCAATAACGTCACTGAAACCACTTAAAATATAAATCAAAAATGAAACAAGTAATCGAAGAAAAAAAATCACAAAAACATCTTACGTTACAGTAGAATCAACAAAAAAGTTTCTGTCCTTCCGTCATTACTTTACAAAAAAAACAAAAAAACAAATTGGAAATTCGGATCAAAAATATTCATTCTTTCACTCTAACATCAGAATCCATATTCTCCATACTCTCCTTTATACATACCCTTTGGCACTGACAAGGAGAATACGTTTAACAATCAAAGCTAAATTCCTAAGTTAGCGATCATTTCCTTTTACTCTCATGATCTTAATGCATGGTTCTAACGCATTTAATCCTTTATATCCTAACATCAGTATGCATATTCTCCATACTGTTCTCTATACATTTCTGAAGCGCTGACGAGGAGAATTTGTTTAAAAATCAAGAGATTTCTAAGATGGTGATCATTTCCTTGATTCTCGTTACCTTTATGTTTAGTTTAGGGTGATATTGTAAGGAGAAATTAGAAGCTGGTTCATCTTAGGGTTAAAGGGTTCATGTTTATCTGCCTATTGATTAGGCTGAAATAGTTTTTACTTACATTGTTTCATTTATTTCCTCATTACTGACTTACCTAGTTTTTTATTATCAGAACGACCCTGGTGTGAATGCAAAAGTGAAGAGAAAACGAACCCCATTGGAATGGTTAAAAAAATATTTCTTTGAAGGTAAGTTAGTCCGAGTCTTAGAATCAGTCAGGTTGTGTTGAGACTATAAAAATAAGCAATCTGCCTTGAATGGTTTCCTTTTGGTCTCGCTCAGCCAAAATAGTAAATATCTAGGCAATAGGAAAAACAAAATAAATGTAATTCGTGTCATACGAAATCATATTGGTTACACGAGCTGCCATTCTACTTCATCAACGATAATAGCGAGCACAAATATTTCGTGATTGGCCAGTATCTGTACAAACACTGACAAGGGCTAAGCACTTTTCATAAACAATTGAAAGATCTTAAAAGATACTGTAGAAAGTTCGATGGCCTTGCTCTATGAGGTGTTGCTCACCCTTGAACACTAAACAGATTTCATTCCAGATTTTCATTCCAGCAAACTTTCATTCCTTTTGTCCTCCAAATTTTCATGCTTTAATTTGTTTCACTCTTTCGTTTTCTTCATATGTCATCGGCATTATAATGTCCTCATTTTTATCTGATAATGGTGACACGGCGCCGTCGAAATGTCACGTTTTACTGGCGTTGCATTTTTTTTCTTTTTTCCCTCTTTAGAGTTAATTTGAGTGGGGGAAAAACAAAATGGCAACAGTACTAACTGTAAAAAGAATAAAGGGGGGAAGTTTGTAAAGAAATCGTGGTGCTGCGTCGGTGGGAGAGTGTAACACGGTAATTAAGTATTATCAACTGAGTTGATAACGTAAATTGGCCACCGTAAAGTGTTTTAAAGCTGACGTTTCAAGCGTTAGCCCTTCATCTGAGCGAAAGACAAAGGGCTAACGCTCGAAACGTCAGCTTTAAAACTCTTAACGGTAGCCAGTTAGTAATACTTAATTACCCAGTTCTTAGTGTTGCTGAGGGAAATTAACTGCAACTTTTGAAATCGACATTCCAGGTCAAGCACTGACCGACACTCAAACCCAGGCTCTTCAGAAGCTTGACCCAAACGCACCATGGCACGAGAGGCTAATTGTCAAGCACCGTCGGCTGGTGGGCGTGGCTATTCCGTTCATCTTCTATCAAGTTATTTGGTGGAGTTCTGCAATTAATTATGACTTTTGGAGTCTGTTCCCTGAACGATATTTCATTTCCATAACGATGATATTTGGCTCAATGATTGCAGGTAAATAACTGTTTAAGCCTCTTGACCCCCAGGAGTGACCAGCATGTAAATGTTCCCCACAATATCCCCCCTGAATCAAACATTTAGGGTCACGAGAATAAAAGAAAAGATTACCAACTAAAGAAGCTGTTGATTGTTAAAAAAGTTCTCCCCATTCGCACCTTAAGAAATGTATAGAGAACGCTGTGAAGAATATGCGTATCGATGTTGAATTTAAACTGTTAATAATGTGATCAAGTAACCGCGGCTGACGGAAAGTTGGTTGAATACGTTTTGTGTTCAGTATTATGCAGCCAAACTGCCTATATAACGCAAGACTTGGATCATATTTTTGTTCGCTTTCTTTCCTTTATCGGTTTTTTTTTCTTCATTCACTCACGTACTATAGACAATTCATGGCTTGAAAATTTGTTAAGATAACTATTGTTCCTGTTTCAACCACCAGTACAAAAGCTCATTTTATTGAAAAGATTTTCTCTCTGTCCTAGTCGCAATATATTCCGAGCTAGACTAATATCGAGAGCATCAAATGAAATATATTCTTCTGGTCAATTCTCGAATATTCCAAAGAGGAGAGGATGAAAGCGTAAATGTGCCCGATTATTACACTCTCAAATTTCCGTCCTCGTTTAAGCAAAAATTTTAAGATAACATGCGAAACGATCAGGTGCATTCTGTGATAATTAATGAGAAAGTATAGTTCTACATTATGAATATCATAGGTCTTTCTTCAATTGCCAACTGTTGATTTATCCAAAACATAATCAATTCTTCTCTTCTGCTTAGGAATGACAAGTGAAGGTGGAGGCGCGGTAGCTTTTCCCGTCATGACCCTCGCTTTTAACATATCTCCAGCAGTGGCACGTGACTTCTCACTGATGATCCAGTCCTGCGGTATGACAGCAGCGGCTTTTACTATCTTCTGGATGCGCGTGCAGCTTGAGTGGCACTCCATCATATTCTGTTCGCTCGGCGGAATCGTCGGCATGGCAATTGGTTTGGAGTTCATTGACCCAAACCTCACCCCACCTCAGAAGAAAATTGGTTTCGTTTGTGTGTGGTTCTCGTTTGCTTTTGCCTTGTTCCTTTTGAATCTCTACCACAAGCGAAAGACATACAAAATTATCCCAGATTTCAAGCTATGGAAAATGGTTGTTCTGACTCTGACCGGATTCATCGGCGGAATTTTCTCTGCCGTTGCCGGCAGTGGCGTGGACATCTGCAGCTTCAGTATGCTGACTCTTCTCTTCCGGGTCAGTGAGAAAACGGCAACACCAACTTCCGTTGTACTAATGGCCGGAAACACTGTGGTCGGTTTCTATTGGCGCCAAGTCATCCAACAAGCTGTGAGTGCCGATGCGTACTACTACCTTGCAGTTTGTGTCCCGATTGTCGTGTTAGGCGCTCCCCTAGGTTCTGTGTTGGGCAGCCATTTTCATCGACAGGTCCTTGCCGGTTTGATATATGTCTTAGACACTGTGGCCCTAGTCAGTGCGTACGCAATTGTCCCACTCACCAAGGCTTTAATCGGAGTTTCCGTTGGTATAATAGCTTTTGGATTCGTGTTTTTTGGTGCCATCACTTACGCTGGACAGAAGATTATGGAAGGTATTGAGGAAGAGAAGGAACAACTGCCACAAACTCAAGTCAACGGAGAAGTGAAAGAAAAAGAAAACGGAGTTATTAATTACAAAAAAGAAGGAGAAACTGAAGATATTGACTTAGGAAAGCTCAACTCTGGGTTTTCTGCCACCACAGATGTCTCAAGACAGCTATAAGAATGGATTATCAGACAATACTTATTTGACTCTCCGGACTGAACAAAGCATATATCTTCTCCTAGCGAGGATTCAATACAGTGTTATTGCTCACAGGTTAAAGGAACAGATACAGTCATCAAATCGAAGAAATGGTCTTGACATAATACCAATTCTCAGAATAAGCCTACAGAAAATATCTTATTATCCGTTTGGAGGTTAAGCTATGATATAATGGTAATTAAAATGATGTATTACTGAGGTTAAAAACAAAACAAAAACCAAAAACCAAAACAAACAAAAAAACTACCGGAAAAAAAAGAAAAGCCTTGCATGTAAAGAAAATGTGGAATAAGGCTTTCAGCCTGATATCTATCCAAATAAAAACGACTCCTGCCAAAACTACTAAAGAATTCATTTGAAAATTCATTGAAAGAACTGACAGTGATCGAGATCCAAGCTGACTTTTGGAAGCATTTAGTTAAGTCTAAATTCATGTTCCTAACTTTGGCCATGGCTCCGAGGCTTTGAATAACGATGCATTCATTAGCATCATTTATTCTAATTTATCCAATTTCGTTCATTCGTTCATTCATTCCTTCACTAATTCATTCAATTTTTTATTTTTTCATTCTTTCGTTGTCAAGAGAATTCATTTTCATAAGAACTTTTTGAGCCTGTGGCTGAAAAACAAAATGTATATTCACATGTCGGGTTTTCGTCTGTTTTTAATTTCACCACATGAGCTTAATTTCAAATGAGCTTAAGTTATCTAATCTGACTTCGATGTCATTTTGGCTCTCGTCACGCAAGCGTTGCGTGACAGTCACAGATGACATTTGCGAAGCACACAGATTTGACCAGAGGTCACGTTAACTCTAACGACTGTTTTGTATTTACTTGTTATACAACCAATTATAAACATAAACACGTTGTGAAATAGTAAATGAGCTTTTTTTAAAGTAGCCTTTGGTTCCAGTTTAACTATACTAAACATCAAGCGAAGGTTTTTAATGTATTATTTTTTTTAGAGTAATTAGCGTACATGCTGGAAATTCTGGGATAAGTCAGTCCGAAAAACTGTGATTAAGAACTTACTCACAAATCACGGAGCAGACTTTTTAGGACCGATTGTTAACACCGTAAACGAAGTGCTCAATGGTAATTGATATAGGGATTTTTTCAGATACCAGCTGTGGCGAAATATTTATCAATAGATTGGAAAGACTATACTAGCGAGTAAAAATGTAAGTATAACTTGACGAGAGTAGTTTTAATTCTGACGTTTTAGATGTTTGTGTCGAATTTTTTGTAATCAAAATATTCCATTGTTGTACATAAAATTGTATCTATTCCATTCAAACATATCTATATTTTTTTGTTTTCGATTGAGGGGTGTATTGGGATGGTCTATCTTTACTTTTTATGTGTATTTGCTTGTGTATATTCAGATCAGCGTGTTTGTTTCGTCTTGAGGGTGGGGCTTATAAATGGCTGTTCTGAGACCCATTTTTTTTTCGCGGAAAAAATCTATTCATACCCTTGATAAACCAAAGCAATAGCATCCACTTTTCCTGAAATCTTCGCAAAATGGGCATTTTTTTCTTTCATTTCCTAAAACCACTTCTGAATAAGGAAGATTCGTCTGGCCAACACTATGAGACACTGTAAACATGTGAAACACCCTTTAATGATTTCAACAATTAATCATACAGTATTAAACTCTAATTAATTGCTTAAATTGCATTACTCTCTCCAAAGTTCCCAAGACTAGCACCCCGATGCTGTTACTTCTTGATGCATTTAACAAACTCTGAAAATAGAAAAAAATAATTTCAATTGATATTAAGCTGTTTGCTTTGGCTAACCAAGCAAATGCAAGGAATCTCTTGCTAGAACCTTTCGGATACGCGAACTTCGCTGAAGAGTTTTGAGTTCTTTTACCCAACGCCCTCGAGCAACAACCTTTCTATACCGTTGACCAAGTCTAAAATGCTAAAACAAAGGCTTTCGAGTTGATTGGTCAATGTCAGGGCGCGGTCAGATCTGTGCAAAAACCTTTGTGAGTACCGCGTTATCACAGCTACACTATGGAGATAAAAACTCAACATTTACCGTCGCATTTGCAGACTTTCCCTTTATGTTCTCTTTTCACCGTCTTGAACTTCGGCTCTTCATCACCTGCGCATTTGTATGGCTTCGAGGAGCACAATTCATTACACCTCTTACCATTGTTAGTACATGTGCACTCCCTACGGCAATCGGAAGTGAATAACTTCGTACCCTTTTCGAACGTTTTCCCATCAAGCTCACATTCCTGAATAAGGATTCAATATTTTAGAAGTCACGTAATCCCATGTACAAATTAGTACCTTTTCGACAGTCAACCTTAAGGTAAGGAATGCTTACTAAATCAGAGCGTCCTATTCAATGCCTCACGTTGGCTGCAAGGCGTGACACCAAAACTGCAGTAAGAATTTTGTTGTGTGTTTCACTCCACTTTTCATGCGCAGCTGATACATGTCAGTTAAAAGGGGACCGATCATTGTTTATAACCGGAGGTGGGGAGGGGGGGGGGGGGGAGAGAGGGGAGGAGATCGAAGGATTTATGTTAATTCAAAGTAAAATTTACCTTAGCACAATTAGTCTCTGTTGTATTATGAAAATCAAAAAAGACGAAAGAGTCGAGAAAAAAATTTAAAGCTTTGACGAACCTTTCGCCGAGTGATTAATTTAAAACTAGGCTTTACATTCCGCGGCCACAGTTCGTTCGTCTTTAAATCATCCTCTTGAACAAAAAACGCTAGCGAATAGTTACTAGGTTGTTGGCTATCTTTCCGACGGTATTCAATTGTTTGCGAACAAAGGGATTTTTTCCCAGTTTCTTTCAGGGTTGATCGAGAATTAACAGAAAAATGTCGTTATATATTCATTTCCTATTTTTGCTATTTGCCACTTTCAATTACCTTTACGTCGTCGCCCAGAATGACAGAAAACATGCAGAAACAAATGAAGACAATTATCAGCCCCTTTGTACCGACCATAGTGTAGATTTTGCGTAGAAACTGAAAATAAATAGGTCGGATACGAATCAAATTAGTTCTATCTTTTTCTTTTGAATGTCTTTTTTATTTTTTTCGTTTCTAGGTGGAGGGAACTTGACGCTAAAATGATATATTGTAGAGTGAAGGAATAGAGTATTAAGTCCCAACAAAGGTGAATATATTTCCGAGCACAGTGAAGAGGGTCACAATAGGGTGATGGCTCTATAACTAAAGGTCAGAACTTTGGTTACTCTACTGCTAACAGTTATTTTCTTTTTTGAAAAAGTTATGGTTGATATTTTTCAATTTTTTAACACCTAATGTCCAGTTTTTTCGCCTTTTTGTGGCGAACAGTTGACCCCATTAAGATTCCCTTTTAAAAGAGGAGCTCTCGTAATCAAAATTGCGAGCTGCAAAAAAAACTTAACAGGCGCTCAGTGAGGGACCCATAATTTATATGGAAGCTTCACCCCGAATTTGAAGAGAACAATTTAGTAAGTACATCTTGGCCTTGGCCGAATCAAAATAGAGAAATTAACGGAGGGATGTTTTCGGAAAGTAAACGTCTCTTCAAAGAATAAATGGATTTCAGAGCGCCATCCCTTGAATGGCAACGTCAAAAACACATGTTTCTTAAATCAAATGAAAAAACGGTAATAAAATCGTTTAAAAGAGAGTGGTGTTTTACCTCGTTTGAAGCCAACGTGTTTGTCTGCCAAGACGTTGAGAGAAAGTGAATGAAAATATCTTTGAGCTCTAATAAAAACTACTTGATACGTGTTATTTTTCCTTATTGGGAAGTAAACGAATTTTCTCTCTAGAGTCCTAATATTTAATTTGTTTATTAGTGCTTCATGATTAATATTGGGTAATGAAAGGGAATTTAGGACCACAATTCATACAACGGGGTTCCTCAAAGCAGAAACAAAATAGTGTATGCTTCGATTGCGGCAAAGAGCCTGACAGAAGAGTTTATCCATTCTGAAGTTCAAACTAAAAATAAAAGGAACGAAAATTCTGTTGTCGCATTCGTTTTTTTCGTCAAAGTGATCAATTTGTTAAAATTCTCAAATAGCATAACTCAACCAGGAGTCGAGTGGGAGTTAACAAATAAATATATATTGAGTTTTCTAACAAAAGCCTCTTCGAAAGAAAAAATAGCCACAGTATGTGGGAGAAATAGAACGTAACTTTCAGCATTTATTTTTCAACATTATTTTTGTAGCCCAGAACCGCGTGGCTAATTGGGATGTTACTTTGATGTTGGGTACGTAGATGATCGTTGGCAAGAGTTTATAATGTCTTGTCGTAAGTCATTGTTGGATGCATGTTGTTCTCATTAGAGAAAATTCATTTAGTTTCTACAGCTGGGGGTAAGGTACATTTTCCTTCTTTAATGAACGAATGACAACAGAAACTAAAACAAAATTCAATGTGCTTCAAAAGTTTAAATTAAAATTGCATCTCTGTTTCATTCCACCTTGAATGTCCCAGAATGGTCTATACTTTCACACCGACCGGCCCGGTTACATCCATGATTCTCTCCTTATTTATAAATTGAAAGCCAAAGAGAAAACTGCGCTTGCAAGCTTGTACGACTATCAACGGAGCCATTGTTAAACATGCTAAGCGTGGTCGATTTTTTATCAGTTTTGTCATGGATACCTTGTCCCCTGTGAGTCTGTGACCATAATAAAAGTATTCGCCGGTATGTTGTCCTAAAATGAAATACTTCTTAGCAAAGTAAAGTTGCCGAGTAACAACATAAGGACTGGTTCTGAATAAAACTGCTATCGATTGTCATATTTGAAGTAGCTTTTCTTCTTTTTTTTTGCGCTTAAATTGGTGCTCATCACTCAAATCCATGCTACTAATCCCTAAAATATTATTTCAAAATTAGTAATTCCATGAGAAACGAAAAAAAAATTAAATAAATAAATAAATACAAAAACAAAAAAGCAAGTCCAGAATAGTATATTTTACTAAAGTACAACATCAGGGATAATAATGAAGAATTTAAAGAGCATATTATGAAAAGTGAATTGAGGATTTCCCCTTCTCGTCAACGGCACAATTTTGCCATCAAAGTTTAATCTCTTAGTCAGACCTCCGACGGCCAAAACATGGTAGAATCTCGGTACGGGACTAGTCCATGGTTATTTCTTTCCTATCTCAAATATTCTAAAGAGACCGGAGAGGGTGACAGCCGTAAATTATGGTTGCCGTAACTATAGATCTTTTCCTTGGCTTTTTTCCTTGAGTTAATGTGAAATTCCCTTAATTTTCTCCTGTTGCAGCCATGTACATCAACGCCATTGATACGCTCTCTCAAACTCCTGTTTTCTATTCAGCAAAAGTTTCTAGGTTGCATGCCATGGCATTTGCTCAGCCTCTTTCATAACGAATAACAAAGAAATGACCCTCATTTAATTATCTTGAACATCATGTCAAGATTTTTATTGTTCCTGGCAACTCGCGCAGGTGGTGTTGCTAGCTTCCAAGTCTGCGAATCTCTGGAGGGAATACGATTGCTAAAAACAAAAACAAAAAAACAAAAACAAAAAAAAACTGTGATTAAAAACTTGCACAAGAACTATGATGCGGATATTAATCTTATATCAATACGCATCTTCTCCATAATATAATATATTTGCAATGGATTTGAAAAGGAAAATTTGTTGGACAATCAAAGTTTCTTAAGTTCAAGTTATTATTTCCTTTATTCTCGTGAGCTTTTTGTTTTATTTAGGGTTGATACTGTAAGGAGAAATTAGATGTAAGTCAATCTTAGAGTTCAAAGGGTTAACAGCTAAAGGATTTGTAGATGAGCTAGATGACCGCTCTTTATCAATTTGAATATACACAACATCAAAAAAAAAGGATGTGATTAGCTGAGTTATTTACTTATTTATCTTAATTAGCAATAGTAATAGACTGAGTGCAGTCCAAATCGGTCTGCAATCATAAATTGGTTGATTTAAATTACAACTTCGAATGTAATTGGTTCATTTAAACTACGACTTTGGATGTGATTGGCCTACTGAACTGTCCTATAACACACTATTCGATAACAACTTAGCAAGTAAATAAAAGTGCCAGCTTATCATTTTGGGTCCTAAAGTGCTCTTATTTTGTCTTAAAAATGACCCGTGGATTGGTAACGAATTAGCGGGTGATGACGTAGAAAACTATGAAAATTCTCAGTTGACACTAATAAATCTCTCACATCTCTTGTAATTTTTTTATCAATCAGCGTTGAAATACTCTTGAAATTATGACCGATAGCGATGTATACCTACCGTCAGCAAGCTCTTCCGAGAGTTGTGATACATCGTACTCAAGTAGCAGAGAAGAAATGGAAGTTGCGAGCACGGTTCAGCCTTATGAAGGAGAACCGTGTGCATCAAACGAAGATTTCGACGAAGACTGACAAAAGTGGTTTCTCGCCTGCAGTTTTCAGGTCAAGACTAGATAAAAAAAACTCCCACTACTGAATATTTATTTTGTAGCGTTTTTGTTTTGTTTTCTATGGCGAAAGCTATGCTGAGAATGGGTGGTGTGTTCGTTTCTGTTACCATAACATTTTGTTCCTTCGCAATAAGTTCGGAGAAGGTTCCCCTTGCTCAGTTCTCAAGAGTTAGTTTCAGTAGAGTAATTCCCTTGGTAAACCAAAAGCGTACTTTTGACGAAAGAATCAGGTGTATCACGAGGCACCATGATATTTCGCCGAGAAGTCATCGGGCAGTTTCACTGCAAGTTGCTCCTTTCCCCAGAGAGTGCAAAGGCAGAGGCTATCGTCGTAGAGCCGGTTAAACGGAAAACGAGAGAGTTTATGGTAATCTGATTCAAGTGAATCTCAAAGAGGGATTTTAAAGATTCTTCAGTTAAGTGCAGCATGGCCATATGACCCATTTTGTCCAATGGGTAAATAAATATTTCTTATGCATCGACTTTCACACAGCACTTGGATTTGCTACCATCTAATTCAATAAAACTTGTGTTTCTTCATCACGCAAACTTGCAGTGCTGTTATCACAGTGACATTGCCACTGTTTCTACTTTTAGTTTCTTAAGAGCAGGAAGAATTGATGGCCCGTGGGATGGATTTTCAGAAACTTAGGTTGGGAGAATAGAACTTGTGTTTATGCCAGCATCCGCCAGAGGTTTCGCACTGTTCGCGCAACAGGGTATCGGTCAGCTCAGGAAAGGGCTTGAACTTTATTACAAATGATGTAGTTCTGTTATTTAAATAAGATGGAAACTACAATTGGTTCGATTTTTATATGATAAGAAAAGCGCAAATTTAGTACACTAAAACTACAGTTGGTTCGATTTTTATATGATAAGAAAAGCGCAAATTTAGTCGTGTGGAGAGACAAGGAATATAAGTACATCTCTAGCGCGTGAAATAAACAACAAATAAGGAGCTCACCGTTGTTCGCTTGCGAAATGCCAGCCGAAAAAAATGTTGAACAATCGTGTTCGGTGTGGGAACAAGCCCCTTGATCAGCATTCTTTTAAGCTGAATCCATTGCTTACCTTCCCCTGATTTTACTAGTGGTATGTGTTCGTAACAGCCATTTTCAGAGCATAAGGCCGATGACATTGAAGAGTAAAATCTCCTTGATGACAATGATCGAAACGCTTCCATTTTGGCCATACAGCTACATCCTTTGAAAAGTAGGGTATGAAAATACTCGGTATATGCGTATAATTCTTATAGCTAACTTTATTTGGCGCTCCGGCCACGCAATACGTTTGTCTTTCCCCCTAAATTTCTCCTCTCTCCACTATGGTTGCCGACGTGTCTTCACAGTTTTCTATGTCACAGATATGTAATATAATCGTTTTGGCCGCGCGCTTCATGGGGACACTTTTTAGTCACAAAATCGTAATTTCAATGCACATAAAAGTGGACAAGGAGAACTCGCCGGGCGCTAAGGTCGATTATTTCTAATTTTAAATACCGCTATCAACCAGAAAATACAATGAAAAATTTCGTGTCAAAGGCACTTTAATGAAAAAAGTGAGTATAGCTTAAATTGCATTTCTCTCTCTAAAGTTCCCAAGTCCAGCTCCCCCATGCTGTTACATCTTGATGCATTTAATAAACTCTGAAAATAGAGAAAATAATTCCAGTTGATATTACGCTGTTTGCTTTCGTTAACTAAGCAAATGCAAGGAATCTCTTGCTAGAACCTTTCGGAGACGCAAACTTCACTGAAGGGTTTTGAGTTCTTTTCCCCATCGCCCTCCAGCAACGCCCTTTCTATACCGTTTTCCAGGTCTAAAATGCTAAAACAAAGGCTTTCCAGTTGATTCTACAATGTCAGGGTGCCGTCAGTTCTGTGCAAAAACCTTTGGGCGTTATCACAGCAGCACTTAAAGTTTTACTGTATACCATGAATAGGAATAATATTTGCCGCACTCTGATAATATGATGATGAAAAGGAATTCCTAGAGCGTTCCTAATGGAAAATGTTGTCAATGCATTATTAAGATATAAACTCAATACTTACCTTTACATTCGCAGACTTTTCCTTTATGCACTCTTCTCACCGTCTTGAACTTCGGCTCTTCGTCACCTGCGCATTTGTATGGCTTCTTGGAGCAAAAATCTTTACACTTCAAACCGTTGCCAGTACACGTGCACTCCCTACGGCAATCGAAAGTGAATATTTTTGTACCTCTCTCGAACTTTTCCCCATCTTTAGTCGTACAAAACTGAATAAAGAATCAATACTTTAGAAGTCACGTAATCTCATGTACAAATTGGAAGCTTTTGACAGTCAATCTTAAGGTAAAGGAAGGCTCACTAAATAAGAGCGTCGCACTCAATGCTTCACGTTGGCTGCAAGGCGTGGCACCATAATTGCAGTAAGAACTTTTATGTGAGTTTCACGGCAGTTTCCTTGCACGGCTGATACATGTCAGTTAAAAAGGAACCGGTCATTGTTTATCATCGGAGGCGGAGGGGGAGGGGGGGGGGGAGGGTGTTCGGAGGAATTTTTTGTAAGTCATTGTCATCGTAAAATTTACCCTAGCACTATTAGGCTCTGTATGACAATCTCTCTCATTAGCAGTTATAACATGGTGGTAAGGTACAATATCGTGTGTACTATATTCATTTTTATCATCATAAAAAAGGTCACCAGCACTCTCGTCTTTCTCGCCAGCTTCTTCATCACCTCCGATTTTATTCTTTGTCCTCCGATTCGAGTTCTTTATTACAGGTCGAGTCACAAGATCCCCGCACAATTGAGTCAAGAGTGGACTGGTTGTGGGGATTGGGAAAGTTTATAAAGCTTAGCCGCTCAGGTACGGCATGCAGAAAAGTTGTTGTTGAATTTGAGCTCTATCGAAAGAGTCGATAAAAGGATTTGGAGGTTTGGACGAACCTTCCACCTAGTGATTAATTTACAACAAGGTTTTCTATTCCGCTGCAACAGTTCGTTTGTCTTTACCTTATCTTTTTTTTTTTTTTTTTGTACAAGAAACGGCAGCGAATAGCTATTAGGTTGTCGGCTATCTTTTCGACGGTATTCAATTGGCAGCGAGCAGGGGATTTTTTTTCCTATTTTCTTTCAGGGTTTATTGAAGATTAACAGAAAAAGTTATTATATATTCATTTTCTATTTTTGCTATTTGCCACAATCTACTGCTCTTACTTTGCCGCCCAGAATGGCAGAAAACATGCAGAAACAAATGAAGACAATTATCAGTCCCTTTGTACCAGCCATGGTGTAGATTTTGCGTAGAAACTGAAAATAAAAAGGAAGAATACAAATCAAAATTAGTTCTATCATTTTCTTATGACTGTTTTTTTCCTTTGTTTATTTTTTTTTTTTTTTGGTAGGGGGGTACCTTGACGCTGAAATGATATTCTAGAGTGAAGGAATAGGGCACTAAGTCGCAATAAAGGTGAATATATTTCCGAGCACAGTGAGAGAGGGTCACAAAAGGGTGATGGCTTTTACGACTAAAGGTCAGAACTTTGGTTACTCTACTGGTAACAGTTATTTTCTTTTTTGGAAAACTTATATCACGACTAATGGTTGATATTTATCAATTTTTTTTCACCTAACGTCTACCTTTTTGGCCTTTTTACAGCTAAGTGTTGACGTCATTAAGAGTATTTTTTAAAAGCGTATTATAAAGGAGCCATCATAATCAAACTTGCGAGCTGCAAAAAAACTTAACTGGCGCTCAGTGTGGGACTCATAATTTTTGTGAAAGTTCTAAGAGAACAATTCAGTAAGTAGATCTTGGCTTTGGTCGAATCAAAATAGAGAAAAAGAAACGGAAAGTAAACGTCTCTCCTAAGAATAAATGAATTTCAGAGCGCCATCCCTTGAATGGCAACGTCGAACACAAGTTTCTTATAAATAAAGTGAAAAAACGGAAATGAAACTGTATAAGAAAAGAAATAGTGCTTTACCTCGTTTGAAGCCAACGTGTTCGCCTGCCAAGACGTTGCAATTGAGAGAAAGTGAATGAAAAGATCTTTGAGCTCCGATAAAAACTACTTGATACGTGTTATTTTTCCTTATTTGGAAGTAAACGAATTTTCTAGCTAGAGTCCTGATATTTAATTTGTTTATTAGTGCTTCATGACTAATATTGGGTAATGAGAGCAATTTAGGACCACAAGTCAGTCAACGGGGTTCCTCAAAGCAAAAAAAAAATAGTGTATGCTTCGATTGCGGCAAAGAGCCTGACAGAAGAGTTTATCCATTCTGAAGTTCAAACTAAAAATAAAAGGAACGAAAATTCTGTTGTTGTTCTGTTTTTTTTCGTCAAAGTGATCAATTTGTTAAAAATTCTCAAATAGCATAATCTAACCAGGCGTCGAGTGGGAGTGAACAAATAATTATATTTTGAGTCTTCTAATTAAAGCCTCTTCGAAAGAAAAAACGCTGCGGTGTTTGGGAGAAATGTAACGAAACTTTCAACAATTTTTTTTTTTTATTATCATTTTTATAGCCCAAAACCGCGTGGCTAATTGGGATGTTTCTTCGATGTTGGATGCGTAGATGGTCGTAAGCAAGGGTTTATAATCTCTAGTCATTGATCATTGTCAGATACATGTTGTTCTCACGAGAAAAAATTCATTTAGTTTCTACAGCTGGGGGTAAGGTACATTTTCCTTCTTTAATGAACAAAGGACAACAGAAACTAAAACAAAATCCAATGTGCTTCAAAAGTTTAAATTAAAATCGCATCTCTGTTTCATTCCACCATGAATGTCCCAGAATGGATATACTTTCACACCGACCGACCCGGTTACATCCATGATTCTGTCCTCATTTATGAATTGAAAGCCAAAGAGAAAACTGAGCTTGCAAGCTTGTAAGATTATTGACGCAGCCGTTGTTAAACAAGCTAAGTGTGGTCAATTTTTAATCAGTTTTGTCATGGATTCCTTGTCCCCTGTGAGTCTGTGACCATAATTAAAGTATTCGCCGGTAAGTTGTCCTAAAATGAAATACTTCTTAGCAAAGTAAAGTTGCCGAGTAACAACATCAGGACGTGTTCTGGATAAAGTTGCTATCGATTGTTATATTAGAAGTAGCTTTTTTTTTTTCAGACTGTACTTAAAATGGTGCTCATCACTCAAATCCATGCCACTACTCCCTGAAATATTACTTCAAAATGAATACTTCAATGGGAAACAAAAACAAAAACAAAAAACCAAAAAAAACAAAAAACAAACAACACACACAAAAACAAAAAAGCAAGTCCGGAATAGTATATCTTACTAAAGCACGACATCAGGGATAATAATGAACATTTTAAAGAGCAGATTGTACAAAGTGAACTGAGGAATATCCCCTTCTGGTTAACGGCACAATTTTGCCATCAAAGTTTAATCTCTAAGTCGGACCTTCAGCGGCCAAAACATAGTAGAATCTCGGTACGGGACAAATCCATGGTTATTTCTGTCCTATCTCAAATATTCCAAAGAGACCGGAGAGGGTGACAGCCATACTTTATGGTTGCCAAGCTATAGATCATTTCCCTGGCTTTTTTCCTTGAGTCAATGTAAAATTCCCTAAGTTTTCTCCTGTTGCAACCATGTACATCAACGCTATTGATACGCTCTCTCAAACTCCTGTTTTCTATTCCGCAAAAGTTTATAGGTTGCATGCCATACCATTTGCTCAGCCTTTTTCATAACGAGAAAACAAAGTAAGGACCTTCATTTAACTTTACTGAACATCACTTCAATATTTTTTTATTGTTCCATAATTTCTGATAAATCGCGCAGGCGGTTTTGCTAACTTCCAAGTCTACGAATCTCTGGAGGGAATAAGATTGCTAAAAAGCAAAGAGCTTGATAAATTACATGAAAGAACTACGCACTTCTGATTGGCTGAAAACAAGTTCATTCTCATGTAACACGCACAAAGTTGTGACACGAGTGCAAATTGCAAGTAGCGTGCACAAGCTTCCAAAATTTCGTCTTGACTTCCTGTGATGTTTTTTTTTAAGTTCTTTATTAACGAGTAAGAATATGATTTCTCATCCAATTTGGTGTAATAGGCACCTATAATTTTTCAAAGACTACAACTTGCACGAACTATAACATGCAGCAGATCACGCGAAACGTGATCCACGTGGTCGCCTGGCCTCCTGTAACGGTGCTGTTTTACGGAAATTTTTTAAAAGGCTGTAACCAAATGCCCTGCAGGCGGGCACGGTCTCAAATAGACTAAATGCCCGACAGTCAAAAATTTTCACGCAACTTCCACCAAAGTTTCTTTCAAACTTCTTCAGATGTTTTTTAATAAGTGTCAAGCGATTCCAAAACTTAACTGGTTTTTTAATGGACAAATTTTCCGAGCTTAAAGCCTAAAGTTACCGCGTTAAAAAATAACACCACAAAAACCATCGAAAACACAACTAGTTTATAGTGAAAACCGCATTTCTTATTTGAACTCGTTTAATATTATGCAATTTTTACCAGTGATGAAAACCTGAAATGAAACTGTTTCCTAAAGCAGTGGACGGAATCATGCGAAATTCTTTAGAGCGTCTTTATTGCTTCTTTTTATGGAAAGCTACAGGAAATTACCATGATGTAACTTAACTGTCACTTGATTGAATGATGAAAAAAATTTTTAAACGATGCTATTGCCTAACTGATCGTAGGGTATGTCAGAAACAGGAATTCTCGACTCCATTCTGGTTCTTGGTCACAGGCGACAGTCAACCTTAAGTCACCGCATGGCGCAGACTTATTGTCCCGGCTTTTGTTGTCATATATCCTTTAGTAAAGAAACAACGATTAAAAAACCTTTCCGTTTCATACATATGAAGAAAGATTATTATTCAGCTCACGATATACTTTTTCCTTATTGAACAGTTGCGCGCAGCTTTTGCCATGTAAACGCCCTGTTCGATTCTGAATTTTATCGCCTGAGGATTATAAAGAACCCGAGGACGCTTTTAGGAAAATTAGTTGAGATAAGGTAGGCTTTGAAGATTGTTTTCTTAATAAAAGTTATGTCTTTTAGAGTACATTGGAGAAGTAGACGATTGTCAAAAGATGATGTCATGAATCATAAAAGAAATGCAAGTAAAGTTGCCCCATCTGCTGTTGGTTTACCTGACGATGCCTCCCTTTCCGCTGTTAGAATTTTTGACCATTTAACGCCAAGGATGCAAAAGGTTTTATTTGAAGCTAAGAGGTTCAAGGAGCAGTTTCACTATCAGTATTGCTGGTCGAAGGGATCGCTTGTTTATCTTCGTAAAGATACCACGTCTCGAGCCATCAAGATTAAGGATATCACGGACCTGCACCGATTAACGAATGGACGTGAAGGCTAAGTATTCATGTTGATGTAGAGTTGTTTGTCTGTTTTTAGATAATAAGTATGAGTGTTAGCAAGAAACGTGTTCGTTGTACAATTAAATCTACCCTAAGCGAACTTCCATACGCGAATGTTGAAATTATTAGAGCTCATGGACAGTTTAATAACATTCTCAACAGTGACTTACCGACCAAGAAGTACTTAGACAAACTTCATAGTATTTATGATTTAGATTTGTTTCGCTTAAATACCGAATCAACATTAAATCCCGACAGAAACTTAAGCATGCAACAAATTAGATGTAAATATTTCTCACCCTATAGTTTTTCTATGTTTAAAGAGTCTTTGTTGGAATCAGATAGTCAATGTCCTTTCTCTATGCTTCATACTAACGTAAGAAGTTTGCGGAAAAACATTGATAATTTTCAAGTCCATCTTTTAGATGAACTTGACTACCAATTCAGTGTAATCGGTATTACTGAAACAAAAATTACAAATTCATCTGGGCTAGATTTCAATGCCTGCATACCAAACTATCAGTTTGAATATGTCCCAACACCTCTATCATGTGGTGGTGTTGGAATGTACATTAATAATTGTTTGAAATATAAGGTTCTGGAGAGAACATCTAAAGACGCTTTTCAGGCTTTATGGATCGAAATTGAATCCCTAAAGAGTAAAAATATCGTTTGTGGAGTGATTTATAGGCAGCATAATGATCCGGAACAATTCCTCCAATATGTTGACTTTACTTTAGAAAAACTTAGCTCCTCTGATAAAGTTGTTTATCTTATGGGCGATTTCAATATTGATCTCCTCAAATCTGAAATTTCCGATTACTCCCAAAATTTTTTGTTATCTTTACAATGTTATTCGTTCTTCCCGGTAATTGATAAACCAACTAGAGTCTACAATAATTCTGCCACAC